CAAGAAAATAGTTTCATTTAAAATCTTGAGTGGTTAATAACTTTTGTCGGTTACCAATCGAAAAGTAACTTCCATCTCTCAGCAAAAAATATCTCACACCTATAACTTCCATTAACTACTAAGAGCATCTTTAGTGGGAGTAAACTAAATGGGTAAACTAAGATACTTTTTGTGGGTCCAAAGTGATTTGTAGGATTTAAAAAATTTATAGTTAATTTGAGTAGTTTTTACTTTAATGGTGGTTGTCTATAAGAAACCAAAACTTGACCCCACATGGTATTAAATGGTTAATAAAAATCTATTATTTATTTTAAATAATTAATAAAAATGTATTATTTTTGTTAAATGATGAGTTAGAGTACGTTGCTTGTGTAGAGCACGTAAACTAGTTTTAGAGCATCCCATATGCCATGTCAGCACTACTATAATGCAAATTCCTTATTACTAACGTAAGCTATAAAGAATTTTGGTTTAACAACCCTGCATTAAAGTTGCTCTAAGAGCAACTTTAACACAGGGTTGTTAAACCAAAATTCTTTATAGCTTACGTTAGTAATAATGAATTTGCATTATAGGAGAGCTGACATGGCATTCAAATGAACTAAAATTTAATTTCCATTATCTATATAGTTAACGTTAACTATGTGAAACCTATTATAATATTATTTAATATTAATAAAATATTCTAAATATTCCAACAAAATTAAATTAAAGATATGATATTTGAAAATAGTAACGGTTTTATTATCATTTTTTACCTTCTATAAATTCTATAGAAATTTTAATTTTTTTTACACACAGTTTTACTTCTAAATTTTTTTCTTTCAATTTCCAATCTTATTTAATTATCAAATGAATCTCAACCAATCGAATCCTTATTATAATTATATTCCTATAAAAATATAATTTTTTTATGTATTATTGTTGTGAATTTTGTATTATTTTTAATTTTATAATAAAATATATTTAATATTATTTTTAAGTTTTTAAGGTAAATTTTATTTAAAAAATTATATGTATTTTAATTAAAATAATTAAATTAATGGTAACTTGAATAAAAAATATAAAATGTGGGGTCAAGTTTTTGTTTCTTATACACAACCACCATTAAAGTAAAAACTACTCAAATCAACTATAAATTTTTTAAATCCTACAAATCACTTTGGACCCACAAAAAGTATCTTAGTTTACCCATTTAGTTTACTCCCACTAAAGATGCTCTAAGTGGTGACAGAAGTTAAAAATTCTCTTCTATTTTTTTTAATGTAAATTTCATCTCTTTCTCAATGAAAATATTTTTTTAAATTTTTTTTCCATTCTATAATATTTTTATTTATTCAATTTTAATTAGTGATCTTTTTATTTTTGAAAAATAGATGAAACTTATTTTCAGTCAAGATCGCGCCATCACCTTCGGTAGAAGAAGTCGTTCTCATTATGACTGAAAATTGATTGTTGTATGTAGATTTTTTTGTAATTGCTTTTATAGTAATATTTTTTGTATGACTTTTGTAATTGAGTCTTTTTTAGAATTTTACCATTTACGAAACTTTCCTTCTTTTCAAAACAGAGTTATTAATTGTGGAGTAAAAAAAGATCATGTGATTCTTGAAAAAATTTCATACTCTAAAATACAATAAAATTCAAGTACTTAATGCAACTACAATGGGTATGAGTGGTTTTCTACTGCACTATTATTTTCTTACAAAAGTTATATCTCACTTTTGTTGCAAAACATTATTCATTAATACTATAGTTTTAATTTTTTTCTTTTGTTGTTATTATGTTTTATTTCTTAATGATACTTATTTGTATTTTGTGAGTATAAACACATCATAAAATATGTAATTTAGATTTTCATAATACAAACAATTATTTCATCAGTATTATTTTTTAAAATGACGTGGTTTTTAATGGTGTTAGTTCTTTTGTTTTAAATTTTTATTTCTATCTTACTTTTGATTTGCTATTTGCTATTGTAACTATCTATTTGTGTGGTAATTTAATTATGATTTGGAGATGATTTGTGTTTTTTTTCATATTAAAAAATCATTAATTTGGTTAACATTATTTGACATATAGAATAAAAGGAGAGATGAGAAAAAGATATAAGAGTGTTACATATCAATTTCTCATATTAACATATTTTTTGTTGAATTTTTTAATGAGCACACACATAAAAATATAAATGAATAAAAAATTCAACAAATTATTATCATCTCATTTTTAGATCTACATTTTATTTTTTAGATCCATCATCTCATTTCTCTTCTCTTTTCTTTTTGAAATATTATGGATGACTTTAACGGAAGGTTGTAATATAACGGTATAAAATGAAATCTTTTTGAAAATCTTTCACAAACTTAATTGGTACGCACAATTTTAATATTTCGTACATTATTAACTTTCATATGTACTATAGAAATAAAAACCATTTCCTCAAAAAATTATGTATCTTGATAAAAGAGTTTTAAAAATATTGTCACATTTATTAATACTTAATATACTGTTCAAATATACCATGACATATGTAAAAATATATAACTTCCATTATTTTATCTTTTATGTCTATATGTGTGACCTTGCTATTGAACAAAATTTTACGTATGAAAAAACAAAATAAAAATATTAACAAAAAAATTTATTGTGAATTATTGAAAAATTTGAAACAATGACCATTCACTTTCTTAAATTAGTTGAATTTTGTTGTTAATTTTTTATTTACGATTTTTATTTTTGATGTTAGAGAGAGATGCGCAATAAATGTCATATTATTTACAAATTTAATTTGAAAAATAATTTCACTTTTAATTAATTAAATAAATGACATTTTAAAATTTCTTACAAACATAAGGATGCATATCAGAAAATTTAGTATTCAAATAATTTAAATTTAAATCATACTTAAATAAAAAAATATTCGTTTATATTTTGACGTGTATGCTCATTAAAAAAAGACAACCACGAGAAGAGTCGTGTGTGGAGCATACATGTTCGCAGGAGATGTACGTGTTGTTCAGTTTACTCTACATACTTCTCTCTAAACACTTTCATCAAATTTATAAGAGAGAGAGGGAAGGGGGAGAGAGGAATGCATATTACAAAGTTTACTATACAAATAATTTAAATTAAAATCAAAATTAAATAAAAAATATCCGTTTGTATTTTGACGCGTGTGTCGTGCCCGTTTGGACGCTATCAAGACTATGTGCCACAAGGTAATACCAGAGAGATGTTCCTCCTCAGGTATTACCTTTCGTATTAACGCACATAAATTAACATAGTTAACCAATAAAAAGATGCAATAAAACCTGAGAGATCAAAGACAACAAATGTTCCACACACGATCAAAGAAAGAAATACATTCAAATATTAATTTTAAAGATATATTTCTAATCCACCCAGGGCAGACCAAAAATTGAAATCTGCGGGTTAAGATGGTGACTTATTTGAATGTATTTCTTTGTTGATATCCGCAATTGGAAGTTTTTCGTGCCCGGATCAATTCTGAAAAGCATTTCATAAGTCACATGTGAAAACATTTCTTTGATTTGGCCTGAGTGAGCTCACTTATACAGAGACACTCTTAGAAGGCAGTTAAAGTCACAATGCTCAACATGTGATTGAATCGTGTTTTGAAAGTGTAAATTGTAGGTTTTTTTTGTTTATAAGCAGATTATCATGTTTTGACTGGACCGTGTAGGCTTCTATAAGCCCTTTATCTTGACTTGATTTCACCGGCTTTTTTTATTGTACCTGTACTTTTTTTTAACGTGAGTGTGTAACGAACTTTGTAGCCCACTGAGTAATATGAACGATCGAACAAGATGCATAGACAATACAATAGTCTTCCAATTAACCTTTTCGTGACAACTTACATATGGTGAGATGTCCAATCAATTCATTTTATGATAGAATATATATAAATTCGCCTAACTTCAGATAGTTCTTAATTCTCAAGATAAAGATCTCAATTCTTAATCCTTATATTTGTGATGATATCTCTCTTATGTCCGTTTGTCCGCTTATTTTTCTATGTTGTGCGCATTAAAAAAATACACAAGTATAATATTCAAGTAACTTCACACATAATATACACATAATTATTTTCCTATGATGTGCGCATTAAAAAAAACAGACAGACGGACACAACACTGGTATCCATAAAAAAAAATATTTTCACCTTTTTCAAATCACAAAATTACTATGACTCGCGTAATATTTTCACCTTTTTAAAATCACAAAATTACTATGACTCGCTGTATAACGCAACAATAAAATCCTATTTAGCGACTCTCCCACTACACGATTCTTACGCTGCCACCCAACCGATCTTCCCTTCCTTCCCGCTCTCACCAAACCTAGCACCTCCTCCTTTTCCATAGGTACCTCCTTTCTCTCTCATTCTCTTCTCTTCCTTTTCACCATTGCTCAATCACACACCATTTTCGCATTATCTTCCTTATTATTCAACCGTTTTCATATATAATAAAATATCTTTCCGTTGTTGCGTTCCGATGATTCTGCTTTACAGTTTTTTCATCGCGCAATGTTATTATCGTTGTTTCTTATATATTTGTTGATTTCTTTCCGTGCTTTTTGTTACGATCATGTTTTGGAGTAGTTTTTTTTTTTGTAACTGGCGTTTTGAATACTTATAGTTTTTTTGCTCACAATCAAATTTGAAAAACGAAATCGTATTTTAGGGCAAATTTGTTTGAACTAGGTCAATCGATTTTTGATCGAAATTTTATAAGTTTTGCTTACAACTTCTTAATAGTTTGTTTTTACAGATTTTTAAGTACTTATTATTAATATGGAAATTTTTTCAAATGATTCCGATTAATAGTTGAAACTTGGTAAATTACTGGTTAATAGGTCAAACGTGAAGAACATTTGGGGTTTACGACTGTAAGTATGCGATGCATGTTTTTTTCTTTTTTTCTTCTTAATTTTTAAGCTTAGTATAGTATAGAGTCAAAAAAAAAAAAAGTGGATCGATGGGGTTTAATGATAAACACAACAATGCTGGTGGAAGCGACCCGGATTTTGGTGCAATCTTTATGTCAAACACTGCAACGAAACGAGAGTGTTTAAGGAGTGGATTGTTTGGGCTTCCGGCTTCTTATATTCCATTTGTAGAGAAGATTAAAGCCGGGACGACTTTGTTTTTGTTTGAATATGAGAAGAAACTACTTCATGGTGTTTTCATGGCCAACTGTGATGGAGGAGTCAATATTGTTCCTAAGGCATTTGCTTCGACAGGGATGAAATATCCTGCTCAGGTGAGCACCTGGTTACTTCGTTTGAGTATGCAATATTCATTTGATTCTGAGAGCAAGAAGTGATTTTTACCTTTGTCTTACTTTTCCATTAATCTTTTGCTTTAGGTTAAATTCGATCCGGTTTGGGAATGTAAGCCAATCCCTGAAAAGATATTCCGCCATGCAATCATAGAGAATTACTATGCCAATAACAAGTTTAGCTTTGGGCTATCTGAAAATCAGGTCTGTGCTTGTACATGATTGGTTTTTGATGTCTTTTTTTATGAAGTTTATACAAATCAGTCTTTTTTGGGCTGTTTTTCAGGTCGAAAAACTTTTATATTTGTTCAACATGAACAAGGTAGAACCGAAGGTCCCTAGGAGACATATGTCTATGAAATCAGAGCGGTACCCAATGGGTGAAGTTGGAAAATCTGTTGGTCGTGGAATGCTTGGCGGAAGTGTTCAAGATGATCCAGGAGATTCTGCACACTTCAATGGATTCAGTGCTGATGATATTTTAGCAAGCAAACGAAGAAGGTCTTTGGAGCTTGGAGTGGATTATACAAGTGGAGACGTTCGTGATTATTTGCGATCAAAAGATGAAAGCAGACTTGCAGCACACAACAATAAAGGTGGAAGATCTGTTGCTCGTGGAATGCTTGATAAAAGTGTTCAAGATGATCATGTTTTGGGTGATAATAATTTACCCAACTTGATGCATAACTACCCAAGAGAATCTGCATGCTACAATGGATTCAGTGCAGATGAGATTTTAGTAAACAAACGAAGAAGGTCTTCAGAGCTTGGAGTGGATTATACAAGTGAAGATGCTCGTGAATATTTGCAATCAAAAGATGAAAGCAGACTTGCTGCACGCAACAATGAAGATTATATAGATAACTACAACTATGCTGCCAAGCTCCCGCTGGATACTGCAAGCGGATGTGTTGGTGATTATTCGGCAATAAGAGATTACAGCAGGCTTTCCTCCCACGAGAACAAAGATTATATGGATACACATCTCAGGCCATACACCATAGGCGGGTACTCCAAAGTTCCTTCTGACAAAATTAGAGTTCATGGTGATGGCAGGTCATCAGTTAGTGGCCGGCTGATGGGTGAAGACCTAAGAAAGACTGATGAGAGGATGATATTTTCGGATGATATTCCTAGTTTACGTGGTTCCAGTGTTGATTTGCCCGTCTACCGCAAGCCTAATTTAGAGCAAAATTCTTTGGGTGAAAATCATCTCAGGTCAACTTCTGCTATGATTCACCCATTCCATCTAAACACTTCTTATGCACCACAAGGAAGCGAGAGTTCTATCCTGTACAATTCAGAAGCTCCTGGCTTCTCGTCTTTTGGAATTGATAATGGTTCTGAGTCAATGAGACCACCAGGAGACGAGAATTCTATCCTTTACGATTCAGAAGCCCCTGGCTTAAACTTTAAACGATTATCGTCGTTTGGAATTAATAATGATTCTGAACAAATGAGAGAAGGATTTTCTCCTTCAACCAACTGCCGAAGGAATTTAGTGAGTAGGGAACGACAACTCATGCATACAGAACCAAAAGATAGTCACAGATGGAACAGTGCTGATGATTGTTTTTCAAATTCTGTATTGTATGGTAGTGACAGGGATTGCATGCCTTTCAACGAACCTCGAAATTCTGACCAGTTGGCATCAGGATCTGCTTTATATGAGGCTCGCAATACCATTCCTTCCTTTAAGTCTTCACCAGCTCCCATCCCTTCAGATATTGGAAACAGTGGAAGGACACATGAACCGTATTCTTCATTGTTCCGTGAGCACAATTCATATTTAGACAATAATGTTCATCCCGTGGCATTGCAAAACTATCCGAGTCATGAACTACCAAAAAACAATGAAACACCAAATCCATATGTTGATTCATTACCATTGGATCATGGATATGATATTGGATGTTACAGTGATTCTCAAAATAGCAATTACGGTCATCCAAAGAGAAAAAGTAGTGTGTTTTCTCGTTTATCTGTTGTCCAGGATGTTAAGAAACAAGGAAAGGGAAACAATGCACAGAATGAAGAATATGATTTCATTACTTCAGTTGATGAAGTGATGGAAATGGTTCGTCAGACAAAAAGAAAGCCAAAGCCCAGTCAACAAAACAATGCAGAAAGTTTAAGGGGTAAAACTCAAATAAGTAGTCAGAGGAAGAAGATTGTTTGCTTTGAAAGTGCATTGGAACACAACAAGGATGAAAGTTTGAGGAATAAAACTCAAATGAGTAGTCCGAGGAAGATGAGAGACTGCTTTGAAGATGCCTTGGAACACAATGAGGATGAAAGTTTGAGGAATAAGACTCATATCAGTAGTCTGAAGAAAAAAAAGAAGGGGGATTGCTTTGAAAATGCCTTGGAAGATCTAAATATGGATTCCACAACTCTGACTGGAAGCAGTCCTAAAACAAAAGCTGAGAAGGCACATTTTGTTGATTTCAAGCGTCGAAGCATGGTGAGGAAACATAATGATGAGATTGAGAGAAGCACTAATGATAGTAAAAAGAGTGAGAACTTGGGGCTTGTGCAACAAAAGAAAAGAAAGTTAATCCGACCAAGTTTCAACAAGAGTGCATATTTTGAAGACAAAGAAGACTTTGGCGCTTCTCGACGAAATTTACATCTAACATTGCCAAATGGAATTTGTAATCATAAAGATGTCAATGAAAGCTGTAGTACACTGTTGAACCAACGCGGTTATGATGTTAAAGCAGAGGCTGAAGTGCAAAATGTCATTGATCCAACACATTCTGAAGGCAAGAATAGTAGTCATGCTACAGAATTTATCTGTAGCAGAGAGGGAGAAAAATCAAAAGTTCAAAATGTTGTGTCCTCAGCTTCTTGCAATGAGGAGAGTTCTCATACCAAGATAAATCCTTGTATGATAGATAATGTAAAGTCGGCATCTGTGGAGATGGAATGCTTGAATGCAATTTCTCAAGAAAAAGCAAATGTGGGCATCCTTTGTTCCTTAAATGATAGATCAGAATACGTGGATAACAAAAATCACCAAAAGGGTTTGTCCTCAGTTTCTTCCAAAGAAGAGGGTTCTCATGCCAAGGAAGGTTCGTGTCTGATGGATAATAAGAAGCCAGCATCTCTGCAGATGGAATCCTTGCATGCAATTAGTCATGAAAAAGCAAACTTTGGCACCCTTTTGGTATTAAATGATGCATCTGAATGTGTGGATAACAAGAATCACCAAAAGGTTTTTTCTCCAGCTTCTTGCAAAGAAGAGAGTTCCCATACCAAAGAAGGTTCACACATGATGGGTATTGTAAAGTCAGCATCTTTGGAGACTCCGCATGCAATTTGCCCAGAAAAAGAAAGCATTGGCACCCTTCTTCCATTAAATGATGGATCAGAATGTTTGGATGACAAAAATTACCTAAAGGTCTTGTCCTCGGCTTCCTGCAAAGAAGAGAGCTATCACACCAAGGAGGGTTCATGTATGATGGATAGTAAAAAATCAGCTTCCCTGGAGAAGGAATCATTGAATTCAATCTGTCAAGAAAATAATGCAGATAAGTTCATATGTGCTGACAGAGGTATTGATCCTGATAGTGAAATGCCAAAAGATTGTGGCTTCTTCCATTGAAGCTAAAGATGGATCTGAGTATTTAGGTAACTCTGGTAGTGAAAACACTCCAATTGAAACTTGTCATGTCGAGGCTTGCATATAGAATCAGTATCTTTAGGCACATGATCACTGCATTCAACATATCAAGAACACCACTTAGATAAGATCACATGTGCTGGGAGGTATTGTAATACTGAAAAATGAATTTCAAAAGATGGCAACAACTTCTTTTCTACTGAAGATAAAGACAGGTCTGTCTTACTTTTCAATATTCCAGGTCTGTCTACTTTTCAATATTCAGGGTCTGTCTACTTTTCAATACTCTGGCAGTGACAATGCTCCAGTTGCTATAACTTGTGAACAAAAGATGGCTCGAGTATGCGTCAATAGCTCACTTGTGCCAATCTCAAATCTCTTTGGACTGGTAGAAGATTCAGAGTCACATGAAGGGACGTCCTAAGAATTGTGACAAATCTCACTGTTGGTTTGGAGAGATAGTAGTTTTTTTTTCTTCTTTTTACAAATTTAGAGGTTGTAGTTAGTAGCAGTAGAAGCATCATAATTTGTCTAGAGTAACCCAAGTAAAGTGAGTACTAGTATAAGTTGTTGATGTGCCCCAAGTAATAGTTGATATTTTATGCATTTGTCACCCAAATCAGGGTAATAGCTGAAATATTGACCCTTGTTTTCCTTTCATCTATAACTAAAGTTTTAGTGTCTTTGGAGATCTCACTTTTTCTGGTGTTGCTTTTGGTGCATTCTAAAGTTACAACTATATTATTAGCTTTGTGTCAAATACTCTGTTCCGCTAATGTGGAAACAATGTTTTGGTGTTAGTCAAAGAAATTAATTCTGTTTGGGTTTTTTTTAGTTGGAATCATTTATGACTATAGTTCGTTGATAGTTTTTCCATTAACTTTAGTTGTAAATTTTTTTTTTGAACAATTTTTTGGTATGATTATATTTTGTTTAAATAGGCTTACTCTTAAATCTTTAATGAAAATATTAATATTTCTTGTGAAGATTGTAATTATACCCAAAACATATTATAGAACATACCATCGGTATTTTGCTAGGAAATATTTAAAATAGAGTTAATTAGGAAATATTTAAAATAGAGTTAATTATCTTTATGATTTTCCTATAATTGTGTATCTCCCTATTTATTCTTTAGCATCATGATAAATAAATGTAATAACCAACATAATTGTGAAGTGTTTTTTTTTTTTTTTTGGAAATTCAAAACGAATATATTTTAACAAAAGGCATGAGGCATGTCTCAACCAATTCATTGTTTAGCCTAACATTGCCATCACAGCATATGCAAGTAATGCTACAAAAACATATAGAATACACCCTAACCACTAATGATACTAATCATCCAACACACCAAGTAATGCTACAAAAACATATAGAATACACCCTAACCACTAATGATACTAATCATCCAATACACCAAGACTCCTGACACCATGCACACCCTCTGTGATCCCTCCTCACACAAGCAGGCCTAACACATATTTATTCAACCTAACAACACCAATGCCAAAGCAGGCCTAACGCACACCAGCAGCCTAGACCATTGATGTTATACCCCTCTTGCTAACATAAAAACAGATTTCTTCCACTTAGCAAAGGAATATGCTGCAAGTAGGCCAACCTCTAGGCCATATCCGATGCAACTCACAGCTAAAAACACTGGCTCATTGGCTGTATGTGCCCACACAATCTTGCTGCTACCTACTTTAGAAAGACTAGGCCTGGATGATGTGCCAAAAATCCAACAGGACCCTTCACAACATAAGATGCCAAACTCACAGCCATTGACTTTTTGGCTTTCTGGATCTAGTAGGATTCAAATGATATATGTCAATTGATCCCACCAAGACTGCAGCAATATGCCACCACTGAAGATGACATGTTCGACTGTTGTATTTGATGTACCGAGGTCATGACCAAGAGCTGCGACATATCTACCAATCTGCAGAGACAATGCTGAAACTGCTCTTAAGTCAAATTCTCCTAGCTTCGAGACCTCATCGCATAGCAGAAGATCAACATGCAGCAGACCACCTTTGCTACTAATACAGTAGCCACGACAGCTCACGTAACATAAATAAAGTCCGGCCATAATGTGAAACACCTTCTCCACCATTAGCTCGATCATCATTGGTCCACGCACCTGAGGCAAGATCTAGGATTTGAGAACTATTGACTAATATTGTACTCCAATCTATTTATTTTAAATCTCAACCAGTTCCAAGACATTTTTTAATTGTCTCCACTACCTGTTCAACATTCACATCCTTGTTGTTTGGATAGCTTGTCGTTTCGCACCTTACATATGCTTCAAATCCCCACCATCTAAATTGTTTTGAGTCTATTAGCAAAAATTTTCCCACCTTCCACCAATTCTTCGAACTGTTTTAGGTACGACAATCCTTCATTTTGAAAAGCTGCGTAAATCCCAAGCCATCTACTAATCCTGCACCAAATATCTACAAACACGGGACACTAAAAAAAGAAGTGAAAAATTGTCTCTTCCGCCCCCACGCTCCCTAACACAATGAATAGTCCTTTGCTCAATTGCCTCTCTCCTATATAGATTCACTTTTGTAGCTACCATACTCTAAAGAGTTTGCCACACAAAGCAAGAAACTTTTATCGGGATTGAATTATGCTAAGCCTTTGCCAGACATGGTTCAACCATCCTCTCCTTCCCTGACATGATTTTCTTGCACGCTTCCTTAACCAAGAATGTATTAACCGACTCCATTATTCTTGAATCTAACAAATTTATGTCTTTCCACCATATCGAGCTGTTATTATCTCCTCGAATCTTAAATTGACTAAAGAAGGGTCAAATTACCTCAAAGACCCTACTTACTACAAATCTGTAGTAGGGGCTTTACAATATGCAACAATTACTAGGGCAGAAATCAGCTTTCCTGTCAACAAAGCCTGTCAGTTTTTGTCTCAACCAATGCAAAGCCATTGGGTGGCAGTAAAGAGAATACTCAGATATCTCAGAGACACACTTCATCTTGGTCCGCACATGTCACCTTGTACTTCCTCTCCATCTGTTTCCATCACAGACTATTCTGATGCAGATTGGGGCTCTAACCCTGATGATAGAAAATCTACATCAGGGTCTTGCATCTTCATTGGTTCTAATTTGGTTTTATGGTGGTCTAAGAAATAAACTCTAGTAGCCAGATCCAGCACTGAAGAAGAATACAAAAGTTTAGCTAGCACTGCTGCAGAGGTTCTGTGGATTAAGTCTTTGCTAGCAGAACTTCAGACACCCTCTCAAACTCCTCTTCTGCTTTGTGACAACTTATGCACTTTGCTCTCTTAATCCTGTCCTGCATGCCAAAACTAAGCATATGTAATTGGATATCTTCTTCCTAAGGGAAAAGGTTCTTAACCATACATTAGTAGTCAAACAGATTTCAACTGTTTCACAAACAACAGACGTTTTGACTAAACCTCTCTCAACTCTCAGATTTCTCACTCTCAAAGATCACTTGAAGGTTGTGGACAAATCATCTCTTCAAGGATGCAAATGACTCTCTCTCAGAGTAGTAGCATTGAAGGGAAAACATTTAGACTAAAATCAGTTATCAGTCATAACTAACTGTTAGAGTTAGTTATGCTGAGCTGTACTATTTCTGTTATGCTAGTTGTCTATATATAGCATACTCATTGTATCAATTCAGTTGAGAATCAATTAATACAAATCATTTCTCCTTGGCTCATATCGATTAACCAAGGCTCTGTACCACAATCCTTCATTTTCTGAGTTGGTTTTCCATTCTCATTTGCATAAAAGGGAATTGTCGAACGCCTTCAAAAAAATTTATACCCAATCGACCCTCTTCTATAGGTCTACACACTTTTTTCATTTCACCCAATTTATTTTCCTCTCATTCTTGCTCCCCCCTCCCCAAAAGAAATTATTTAAAAAGAGATTCTATTTTAGATAGGATACATGGCAGAGCTTTACAAAAAGAGAGAAAATAGTCTAGAATCGCTAACAACACTAACTTTATTATAACCACCCTACCTCTGATGGACAACTTCTTGTGCTTCCAACTTGATGACTTGGCTCACACTACATCAATTACTGGTTGCCACGTAGAATTTCTCCTCAGGTTTGCACCAATTGAAAGACCTAACTATTTAAAATGAGTGTTTCCCACTTTACAGTTACAGGTGTTTGTCGCTTCAATTATGCGCTATGTTGATATCTACCATGAGGCTTTTATGGAAATTGACCTTTAGGCTCGACATCAATTGAAACAACTTCAAATTTGCATTTATAACCCAATATTTCCCCCACATATTTCTTTCGGTTTTCTAGGTATCGTTAGTGTATTGATGGTGTGTAAAGCTTTCATTTCCTCATCGAATTCGTATCATGGAAATCTTTCTAACTCCACTGTACTTTTTGTTAATAAGTTAAATCATTTCGCCACGATGATAAAGAGGAACAGCGAGAGATGATCTCCTTGTTTAAGACTGCGCTCCATTCCAAATTCATTTGTAGGGATTCCGTTTACACCGAAATCGAAGCTATCTTTAATCATTATGATATCCATCTCCTCCACTTCTCATGGAAGCCTATATTTTCCATGACAAAGTCCAAAACAACCCAATTTATTAAGTCAAATGCTTTTTCAAAATCTACTTTAAACATGATTACTTCTTTGATCTTCTGTCTCCCTCATCTACGATTTCATTTGCTATTAAAATTTCATCCAGTCTCCATCTACTAGATAAAAATGTTGACTGCATTTTTGAAATCACTTTGCTCAACACCTTTTTCAGTCGATTTTCCAACACCTTTGTTATCATCTTGTAGATGCACTTCATCAACGATATTAGTCTAAAATCTGCCAGCTTCATTGAGTTCTTTCTTTTTGGAATTAACACTATAAATTAACTTTTCCCCTTTAACCATCCTTCCATTTTAATGGAATTCTCTCATAAATATTCCTTAACACCATCCTAAAATT